GCTGGAAAGGTCGGCGGGTTAGCCCCTCTCCCCGAGACTGGGCGGGCACGCCCAGCAGTCTCACCCGGATGGCGGCTCACCCGTCCTCCCTCAGCTGGCGGCCAGCCAGGATCACAGGTGTGCTCGGGTGTGCTGGCGTGTTGGGTCCTGGGCCTGTGCCCACGACTGCCCTGGGGCTCCAGCACTGCGAGCAGTGCCCACCCCGTGCCTGCAGCCCAGCCAGGCAGTGGTCCAGTCCCACGGGCTGTGTAGAACTCTGGCTCCTGTGACCAGATTGAGCCCCACACTTGCAAATCCAGCTGAAGGCGCTGGCATCTAGAAGGACGTCTCTCCAGGCCTAGAAGCAGCGCCGTGGCCGGCACCAAGACCAGGCCTAGAAGCAACCCCGTGTGGCCCTCCGACCGCCTCCGCCTCCGCCACCAGAAGCCTATGCTCGTCTGACGCCCGCTGGGCCCGTCGCTTTTGTCCTGCGTCCTCCTCCCGTCCCTGCTTCTCAGAGAAGGTGACGTTGCCTGTAACGCCGTAGCAGCCGTCAGCCCGGGACCCCTGCCACCTCCTCACCCTGCGCCGGCCCGTTAACGCGTACCACCACATCTCCAGCCCCCACTCCCCGCTGTACACCCCGCTGTCCCGAGAAGCCGCAGAGTGCACCCTGCCGAAGAGGGGCTGCTCATACCTCTCCCCGAGCTGCTGCTGCTGGCCGGGCTGGCCCGAGGGGCCGCAGGGCTAGACGTAGTCGTTTGTGGTCAGTTACCTCCGTGCACCGCCCGTAAGTCACAAGGAAGCCCCCGAGGTTCCCCACCATGGTGCAGAGAACCGTAGCTCCTAGCAGCCGCAGCACGACCGGGAAAGCCGAAGCCGGGGCCGGAGCGCGGGGCACGGCCGGCCCTCTCCCAGCTGGTCTGGAGGACAGGCATCCAGCAGTGTCCCTGGGTCACCAAGCGCAGCGCTGCCACATGCTCACTTGGCTGCGACTACGTCGTCTTCCGTTTCCTCCTTCAACTGTCCCCACGGCTCCCTCTCCAGAAAAACTGACAGAAGCCCTCTGACGGCTTCTGAGAAGGAAAGCTCCCGGGCAGTCAGTCTCCGACTATCCCCGGGGCCTCCTTGACCCCTCTTGGCACTGGCCCGTGTCTTGAACGACAGGGAGCTGTGGGGCTGCGGTCGGGCGCGTGGCACTGGGAGCACCTTCCTGGGTTCCGTCACTCATCGAGCTGTTGTCACTAACGCACAGCCCCGGTCACTCTGAGGCTTGTGGTTCCCTAACCCTCCTCTGGTTTCCATGGCTTCCCAGGGTCATTCAGCTGCTGCCGCAGGTGTGCTGTTCACACGGCCCTGCAGGGTGCCTGCGCCCCTCCCCACATCATCCTGTCGGCTAATCTGGTTGCCCCTTCGCACCTACAGAGGTGGACCCCAAGTCAAGGTCATCATAAAGACAGAACCGGCCAGGCGCCTACCAGGGGGTGGGCGTGGGCGTGAGTTTCTCGTCTTCACACGCCTCCACCCAGGCACCACTGAGGAGCTGACGAAGTGTCTGAGCTGGGCTTAGCGGGCCTTGAACACCGTTGGAAATGGAAAGCGTTTTCAGTGGGCTTGACTGTTCCGGGAAATAGACTGGGAATCCCCCAGATCCGTCTCGCCTTGACCTTGCACCTGTAAGTCGAGGGAGACTTGAGCACGTCTCTCTCGTCTCACCTGGGGCCAAGGCTGCCGTCCGTGTTGACGGTGGCAGGGGGACCGGCCACATCTGGTCGACTGAAGTCTGGTTGGTTTTCCACAAGGACCTCGGGTCTCACCCACTCCCCAGAGTTAGAGAAAAGGAGGAAAACACGGTCCCAAAGTGTTGGCCAGCTGCTGGACTGACCCCTCCCCGTCGCTGGCCTGTGGATTCGCTGCTCGAGTCCTGCTGGCCCAGAGCCACCCCATTGTCCTGTCTGTGCTGCCGCACAGCCCACTGGCTGCCCCGGCGTCTCTGAGGAAGGGCATCGTGTGTCGCTCGCATGGCAGTCCTGGGCCAGTGGGCCCGTGTCAGCACCCCCTGATTTCCAGTCTGCCTCCGCACCCCCATCTCCCTCCTGCCGGATCAGACCGTGGGGCGGGGCTGAGGAGGACGCTGGCACTGGGGCAAGCTGCCCTTCGCAGACCTGCAAGACCACCCATCACTGCCAACCCAGGGCTCTCAGGAAGTAGCTTCACGCTCAAAGAAATGTTTTGGAAGAATTTGGAGTTTCCCCAAGGTGAACGAGGGAATCCCCGGGCAAGAAACAGGTATATCCCAGGGAAATCCTTCTGAACAAAATGGCTGTCCCTACCTACTCTTTTTAAGCAAAACTGTTTCCAAACTTTTTAGTGTCAAAACTGTAACCAAGCGTCTCCTGGTTTTTCCAACGTGTTTGGCGAGTGCTGTGACCCTGTTGTAGGTATTTCTCCTCCTGACTCTTGGGGGGAAGCAGTTTTAGGGGTTGATTTGGGGAGCGGGTTTTCGTCCCATCCCACCTCCTCTTCTGTTTCTCTGCTTGTCGATGTCGTCCATGTGATTCAGAGACCGGGGCAGTCCCATTGTGTCCATTGTTGAGATTATTAAAATATTAAAAAGTAGCTGTAGAACTGAACGTTTATAAAGAGCCGTGTTTAAAAATGCAAACCAATATTATGTTAATAAAGGAATTCAAGCTACGGGGCGCCGGGCTCCCCCCTCCCCGGTTGGTGCCGTGGCAGCTGAGCTACCGCTGAGGGGACGCCTGACCCCTCGGGGTGGGCGACTGCCTGGGGCAGACAGTCGAGAATGAGGGGCCCGGAGATTCGTCCTCAGGCCCGTGGGTAGAGGGCTCGCAGTCTGCCCCCAGAGCCCCCCGGCCCTCCCTGGTCCCAGCTCAGTGTGCCTAATACCGTGTGGTAACTGGGCCTGCCGGACCCCACCCCTGGCAGGCCACAGGACCTCGCTCCTGCCCACTTGGTGCTAAATCATCCAGCGACCCCTCCGGCACGGCGGGCTCTGGGCCACCCTCGGCCGACTGAAGTGCACTCAGATCCCAGGTCCTCTGGCTCCAGGCCCTGGATGCTCCCA